AGGCAGACACTGATGCAGATGCGTGTTAACTGGAGTGCATAAAGGAAATAGGTAGTCGACCCGATATTGCACTCATGGGTGACTTCAATGCACCCAGCATAAGTTGGAACGATTTGCGGGTGAATTTTTCTACAAACGCCTCTGATCACCATCTTCTAAAAATAACACTTGATGCTCTTCTCGCACAACACGTCCTCGTTCCAACTAGAGCACGTGGAGGGCAACAGGTTAGATGTTTAGACCTAATCTTCACCAAGCATCCCGACAGTATAGACGAGGTATGCTGCCTACCTCCACTTGGTCAAAGTGATCCCGCTGTACTTTCGTGAGATTCTGTACCCCCTACAGTAGACGAACCAAGGCCGTATATGTGTCGAGGGGACTTCTTTCAAATAAGAGGAGAGGCATCACAAATAGACTGGGGTCTTATTTTCTCCGGGGATGTCACTGAGGACTGGAATAAATGTAAAGAGCGGTTGTCGCATCTAATGCAAAGTTATTGTCTACTATCAGTGCCCAAGATATCTAACCGAGCTCAGTGGCTGAAAGGAGATCTAAAAGGAGAGAGCAATAAAAAATGAAAGCTTTGGAAGAAGTTTTGCAAAACAAGCCGCAGAGAAGCTTTTGAACAGTACAAAATCTAGCGGAACAAGGTAAAAAAAATGGTTTTCAAAGGACGACGTGACTTTGGGAGCGATTTAATTTGCCGAGCTGTCAAAAATCCAGAGTTGCTATACAGCTATTTAAGGAAAAGCTCACGTAACAGGAACCCGATTCCTGTTATGCAAAATAATGATGGTCTCGAAATATCCGATAGTAAAAACAAAGCAGAACATTTTGCTAAGTTCTTTCGGTTGGTTTTCACCGCAGAACCTGCCTTCGTCGCAGGTAGTGACGAGATCGCGGGAGCACCAAATATTGAGGATATTTTGTTTGGAGAAGAGACGATTTTCCAAGAGCTAAAAAGCTTTAAGTAATGTAAATCTCCGGGTCCGGATGAGATTTCTGTGAAATTGCTCAAGGAAGTTGCTAGAGAGCTGGCTAAACCTTTTTCCATGATGTGCCAGAAATCGTTTGATACTGGAATCCTTATTCCGGATTGGAAAACAGTGTATATTCCACCGCTGTACAAAAGCGGTAGTCGTGCATCTGCGAACAACTACAGACCCGTGAGTCTGA